CGTCCGTGCAGCCCGGGGGAGGCTGCGCGAGCGGCCCCGCTTCCGGCGGCCCCCGTTCGAGGTTAAGGACGGCCCCGCCCTCCCTGCCGCCGCTCCCCGCCCGGTCCACGGGTTTATTCACGAGCCGGACGACCGGGGCCGGGCGTCCGCCGTCGCGGGCCCTCGAATTGTGCGGCCAGTAGAGCACCCTCGGTGCCTCGTTGAGGGTCTGTCCGTTCATCACCACCACAGCGCTCACGGGAGGGGGTCGGCGAGGGTCGTGATACGCGGACTTGCGAGATACACCTGAGCCCATCTTACCAGGAGACCGGGAGAGCACGAACTTCGATGTAACGGAAGACTACAATAGAAGAGGAAAATGGTATAATAAAGACGTTTTTGTGTGTGAGTATGAGTGTAGTTCACCTCGGCTATTTGATTGGTATTACAATAAGAGCAGAAGAGTAGGAAAACTATCTGATCGAGGCGAAACACCCAGAACTGAAGAAACAGGGGTTAAAGAAAGGTAAATGAAGAGACAATTACTAAAGGTAAAAGCCTCCCTAAGCTGCTTTTTTTCTGAGAATCAATATGAGGTAAAAATCTAGAAAGCAAGTTTATGTTTTCACACTCTTTGAAATTTTATATATGCACCGAAGCCCCCTTTTTTTACACGCAGGAAAGGCGACAAAAACCTCCACAAATATATCTTTTACAGACATATGAATCTATAAAAATTGTTGCAACATAAAAAGTTGTACTAAAATGTTATAAAACATTAGGAATTTACTTAGTGTCCAAGTTAATTCCTTATGTACAGATATAAGGTTGACATGAGGTTACACCACTACTAATTTCTTTTTCTCTTCTATAGTATGGACAGTTTAAGGAATGAATTGTCAGCACCAAACCCGTCTTTGCATTTCCCACTTCGTTGGTAATGCGCCTATCCAACTACTTCGCCATGGCTTTTTCTGTGATACTCGCCCTTCACCTCTTTGGAGATCTTGAGATCATTTTATCGAATGAGTATCTGAGAGTGGAGTATGTAAAACATGATAATTTACTGTGATCAATGCAAAAAAAAATTGTGAAACCCTGCTATACACCAGTAAATTTTCACGTACCCCTTTGTGGTCAGCATCCCAGAAAGTCGGAGCCGAGAAGGAGTTGAATCGCTTTGAGTTGATCTACCTGGGAGGTTCGATCGAGGTTCTTCAACACAGTGACCTCACCGCCACTATCGACGGAGTGCAGCAGCTCCTCCGGGAATGGCTTCAGAGCCCTGCCTACTTCCAACATGCCATTCATGAAGTTTTCACGGGATTGCTGATATTCAAGGAGATGGCTCTGCCGTCTTGAAAGGACGTATCTCTCGCACGTCTTTCGAAGCAGAAAGTCCGCGATGCTTACCAGGGTGTAGATCTCTAGGCACTGCAAGGGAACGTTGAGGAAGGGTGCGCCGTGCGTCTCGGGATAAGGGTACGCCGCTGCGAAGGAGATGAACTCCCTGTCTGTGCACGACTCTTCTTCCGCGGCGGCACCCTCGCGGACGAAAACGCAGGATGGTGGGGGGAGAAGCCGCCGCACCCGCGATGAGCTCACAACGCAGCCAAGATGGACGGCCTGGAAGAGGCTCTGGAGCATGCGGGAGTGGCAGGCCGCGGCAAGCGGCAGGATCACGCGCGTTTTGTCGTGGCTCACCAAACTGACGAACCCCACGCACAGCTTGAAGCGGTTCTCGTCCATGTGCCGAAACCCTTTCCCCACCCTCCCCAGTTCGAACTCAATGCTGTCAATTCGTGCAGTTAGGCAGGCTCCGTAGATAGGGCCCTACCGGTTGATATAGGCTAAACTATTCACGAGGAATCCACCCTTTAAGGGGGAACACACCCGATAGAGTGAGACAGGAAATAGGCAAGGATATAATTGGTTTACCCATGTGTGGGATTTGTCGTCCGCACAGGATGCGATAAGTGAATTATTAAATAATTCACCGCACACAGAGAAACAGAATCTAAAGGTTAATAAACAAGGTGATAGCCAACTTTCGCATAAAAATTCGCGCAACACTTCTGATGGTGTACATATTTACAAGTATACATGTTTGAAACCCTTATTGGTGAAACCCCACAATTAAGGTTGTAATATGAAATTTTAAACATACACGGTCCGTTAAGCTAAGCATCCAGTAAACAGTGGTGATTGCTCTAAAAACGTAAATGACATAATCATACATTAGCACAGTTGCCAAAATGTATCCATTACACATTGTGAGTGCTGTGTCTAGTCGCATTTTCCTTTTATTATTATTGTTACGTTGAGCATATGTCACCTAAACATCTCACTTAGATTAACAAGCCTATGTAATCCATCAAGCGATTTCAAAACGTAAATCATGCTAAATTTAGCACATTCATCGTAATAAAAGTGGCCACTTTTTAAAAAATACCCTTTTGCAAACTTGTGATCCTTTGGATACAGTCGACATAGAAGAAAATATGACAATTCTTATTCGATAAAATCAAAGTTTATTCTTACACACACACACACAGAAATACTTCCGGTAAAAAAAGATCCAAGGGGCCAACATCAAACCACTCACCACCATCTTAAAAACTTCCTCAATATCAATAGGACCTCTCACGCGTCTTTTCACGTCTCCATAGGAATTTCAGCCCTGAAGGTATCGATTAGCGATGAGTATCCATGAGATCTGGCCTATAGCAGCAGTCCACGCCTTTCACGTGAGAAGCAAAAACATAAAGGAAAGGGTGACAATATTGAAAAGTCATGGTGAATAACCAACCATGATTCCCACTGATGCTACCTGAACGTTCTAGTAAAAGAAAGAAGAAATGGGGCTGTTGAGACTGCAGCTGATATCTTTTTTTCTCATATACATACATGCATATATATATATATATATCTGTGTGTGTGTGTGTATGTACATATATATTGTTAGCCTAAAGCTGCAAGAATGAGGCCGCAACCATGAGTTTCATGCCATCCTCGTAGATCCGTCTCTGCTGTGCACTTGTCATCTCAGAGACGTCCTTGCGATTGCAAAGGAACTCATCGCAGATCTTGTCCAGTTGCTCTTCGGCGGCGTTGGGGTCCAGGCAGGCGCGCCGGACCATGTGAGTGCTCACGGCGACAAGCGCGAAGCCCGTGAGGGGAAGGGTGAAAATGGGCATGTTCGCGCACGAATTGCTCGCACAGCAGGTAAACATATCCTCGTCGGTCTGAGAGTTATCGAAGGTGTCCATCCGTGGCACCCCGTCATCGCGCGGGGCGCAGTCCCTCATGAGTGTGGCCGCCAGGACGCTGGGGGGCGGCGGCGGGCAGGACACCGGCACGTAGTTGGCGACGTAGTTGAGGGTCTGCCCGTAGAGCGCCTCGGACTCCTCGGCCTCGCGGAGGTCCTCGGTGGCAACGGAGGACGAGGCCGAGAAGGCGGGGCTCGACGTGCGCGAGGAGCACCGTGTGTCTGTCTCCCCCTCGGCCTCTGGGGTGGGCTCCGGCTCGGGGGTGTAGGGGGGCTCGGGCCCCATTCCCCAGAGGTCGTCCCCCCGCAGCAGCCGCGCGTGGCTCTCGAGGTATCGTCGGAAGACCGCGGAGGCGGTGGTGCGGGCGTGGTAGCCCCATTGGCAGCGGACCCCCCCCCGCAGGGCGTGGAGGCCGCAGGGCCGGCCCTTCACCACAACCACCGCGCCGGTCGGGGGAAGGGCGTCGAGCGGGAGGGGGGCCCGCCGCGTGCGTCCCAGCATCGTCGTCTCGCAGCCCGGCAGGCCCAGTAGGCCCTGGATGTGGTTGCGCAGGTAGAGCGAGGCGTCACCGGCGTGGAGGGGGAGGATGATGCGCTTCAGCTGGACGTTGATGAGCTCTGTGGTGGGCCCATCACCCGAGAGACGGTAGGGCGCCCCGAGGTCGTTGGTGAGCATAATGAAGGGGATCGCCTTCGACTGGCCGGCAACCGTGCGGGTTGGGGTGCTCTCGACACTACTGGGCATTGCAACTTCCCCGGTGTCTTTCTCCCTCCAGGGCGATGCGAGGGAAAACCAGAGTCGAAAAGTCGAATGAGCGGAGAAGACCTACGCAGATGGCTAGGAAGGGGGAAAAGGGGAACAACTAAAGTGGGGGGACTTCTTCTCCTTGAAGCAAGCTTCGCTGTCGGTGTCTAGGCAGGTGTGTGTGGAGATGAAAATAAGACAAAAAAAAATCAAGCCAACACTACAAAAGCCCTTGAAAAGGGAGGATGTGCTAAAGGAATACTCTAATCACTTCCCTTCTTTTTCAATACTGCTGTGGCACTAACAAGATCAAATATCGATGACAACGGAGAAAATACAATTGCTTTGTAGGAAAAGTCACCACTCTCCAAGCGAAGATGAAATAATCAATTTAACTACAATGAAATAGTAAAATTAACAATTATAAAAGCTATGTATGAGGGCGATTCGTTACGGCTCTTACTAATGGAACTTTGGTAATAATAGTAGCTCAGACTCTGAGTATAATTCTATAATAAGTTCCCTAAATAAGAGTATCTTGTTAATGAAATGTAATAAGGATAAATCGTGCAGTAGTATAGTATGGAAAGAAGAAGAAAAAAATGGTTATATATGTATACATTGGAAGAATATAATAAACACACCCATTAGCTCCATTTATGGAATTTTTTAGAGTCACCGGGGAAGGAAAAGTACGAATCATTAGCAGTTTGTCCAATGAGTGGATATATATACATATATTACTAGAATTTTTCATTGAACATTCTCATAAAAGTTTCCCGATAGTGTTCACTGTGAGCTCAATTGACAAGTATTACAACGATAACGAAGAAATGAAAGTAAATCATCACAAAACTACAGCAAATTAGGGGTGAAACAGAGCACATATCCCAGAATGAATTCCTAAACTATCAGAGAATTTCTACTTTCAAGAACGCACATACCCATACACCTTTGTCTACTCTCCTATTCAAAAATACTTTCATATATATATATATATATTATACGGTGACTTATGTCTTCCTAAGAATTTTACTATTTCTACAGAAATTGAGTATACGTGCGTGAATCTTATACACATTTTTCTTGTCACATTCACCAATGATATCTCTTTCGTTCTGGATTGAGCTATCCCGCACCATCGAAGCTCTTCCTGTGTATTCGTTATTGTTTTACAGGAGACAACACTTTCTTGGGGATAAACATATCAGGATCCTTAAATACAGTAGGATTCAGCACGTCGACGCCACCTTCCTCCTGCAGTAATTTTCGCACCGTCGAGACGGCCTCGAGCAGCGGCGGGTGGCCGATCTTTTCGTCATACTCGCGAATCCACTTTCTGAGTTTCTTCTTGTGTTTGACCGTGACCAAGCTCTCGCGGAGGACCCAGGTGGACTGCTTATGCCGTACCACGCACTCCCGCATGTCCAAGAGGCGGCTTCGGCAGTCGTAGAGGACGTCCAGCTCCTGGCTCTCCCGGACGCAGGTCATAAGCCGCTGCCAAAAACGCTGACAGTTGCTCTCATTCATATAGTTCGAACTCAGTCCGGAGGCATCGCTCGCGAAGGTGTCGTCCGGGGTTTCGCGCCCACCATAGAGGGACATTTTTTCTTACTCAATAGGATAGGCACCCTTTTTTTTGCTGGGAATACCTCTTCCTAAGAAGAAATGGGGTGTGACAGGAGATGTAAAAAAAAGGTAGGTGTATGGTAAGGATACAGACGCATTGACATTCATAGCATTTTCAGGGTTAGTGGAAAAAATGAATAGGTTAAATTGAATGAGAGTCACCACTTACTTGTCTTTCCAAACACTCCTAATATGTATATACAAAATTGGTTGAATTGGAAAAATACAAAATATGGAGATTGCAACTTATTCTTTAGACATATAACTGTAGGACTAATCATTCCCTTCGGGGAAGAATAAAAGCCAATCAATTTTTATAGTACAATTTTTTCTCATTTCTGGAAAACATATAAATGCCCTTAAATCGTAGTGAAATACAGAGTTAGGAGATTTCTTACGAACTGAAGAATGGATGAATAGAATTGCGATAGATAGCTAAAATATTAGGAATCTAGAATGACATCCTCCCACAAGTGGTGGTAAGTAAATTGTTCTTTTCCATTAATCATAGAAAAACGACTTTTTTCTTTCACATTTAAGATTTTTTAGAGGTGAAGCTTTGAAAGAAATATCACGTAACGGGGTATCGTTCTACTAATATATATAGACGTAATAACGATAAAAAATGAACGAATGTTTGTACTTAGAACAAAAGGGCTGGGCACATATAACCGTATACTATACGGTCCCTAAAAGAATCTCAAAACAACATTACTACAACAATAATCAACGCCAAAAAAACTCTCGGAAATAAGAATTATTGAATACTATTAAAAGATCTCTACACATATTCAAAAGCTACAACTGAAAAGCAATATATGAGTGGAAGCACTCTTCTGTACACATAGTTAAACCCTTCCCCTTATTACTTTAGCAAAAAAAATATATAGGGTTAATAATGCACATATATTTAGTGAAGTTTGGAAAAAAGTATTAAATAACGGCATATAGAATGGGGAAGGATCCAAAATAAATAAATGAAATTTACATATAAGCATACAATGCGAATTTAAAAACTATAAATATACATACGTGGAAAAACACAGTCTTCAGTTGGTTGAACACGCTTAACGGATGCATGCACACGAGAATTTTTATATCTTAAATTATCCATAGGCTTTGCGGTAAGGTAAAAAGTAGAGTGCGGCACGAATGAGGTGGGATCTCGTAAATTCGGAGATATCAACCCTCTTTTCCTTTTCCTCAGGAAAACTAGACGCACTACATGGACAAGTAAACCCATCTGTGTATTTGACTCATCAAGCACAAAATATATATATATTTAAGCAAGCAAATGTAATCCTGAAGCGATAAATTTTAAATCCATAGTCGCCGTGTGCGCACCTTTTTATATATATCATCCTCAGCGGCGGGTGTGGTGTTTTGAGGTAGGGTTTGATGTTCCCCCTCCAGTCGTCCGCATGGTTGTGGAGTTTCTCCCGCCGCGAGGATTATTAACGGATTCCCCTCCCCCGCTGACGTCTCGCAGGTAGGGCTCGTAGAGCTGTTGGCGGTGCATGCGGCTGAGCAATCGGATTGTCCGAACATTGCTCCCCCCGCTGCCGGAGGTGAGGATGGGCCCCTCCTCCACACTTCCCCCATAACGATGCGTGGAGGAGGGGACGTCGTTGTTCGTCAACTCCCCGGCGTCGAATACACCGGAGGAGACGTGGGTTGGGAAGCCTCTCAGGCTAAACAGACAGTCGTCAAGGTTTGATTCTCGTGAGGGGTGGCTCCGGTCGATATCGGGCAAGCTAAAAGGGTTCACCCCCCAGCTCGAATGCGAGTCGGTGCTCAGGATTGAGCTGCCCCGTCGTCTTCCCCCTCCGCCAATGGTCGAGTTGAGGTTCAAACTTTCCATCCCCAGGGAAGGTATTTCCCGCACCCGGGGTAAAGTTCGCCGGGCGAGAAATTGCTCCCGCACAGAATTCAACTCTGCCACGCTGCTCACGTCTTCCTCCACGTCATATGGTCTCGAAGACTCCGTATCAGGCCCCCCAAAGGTGTGGGATGAGATCGCAATGACGTCATCGGTGCTCATGTCGGAGGTCACTAAAAACGTCCGGATGGAGGCATCGTCGGTGTTGGGATGGGCCGAAGAGCTCAAATCGCTTCCAATGGAGGCAGATTTCTGCCGATTTGCCGAGAAGCTCCCCTGCTGTTCGTTTTTTTTTCCTTCCGGAAGGAATGCAGCGCGGTGATCCACCACATTGGCGCCTTTTCCGCCATTTTGAGGTAAAGACTGTCGATGTCCTCCAAATTCAGACGGCAGTTCGGGCAGCTTTCACTCTCCACTAGCCACGGCCACAGGCACTCCAGGCAGAAAAGATGATTACAAGGGAGACGGCAGACATAAATGGGCTTAGCCTCGCAGTCCGTGGTGGCATCCTCAACAGCGCCTTTCTCGAAAATGTCGCGGAAGGTCGACAAACAAATCGAACAGCTATCGCACTGGAAGGAATCCTTCCCCCCCGCCCTCCCCTCGTCGAGGCTGTCGCTGTGGGATAACAAGGCCTCCGCTGAGCTGTTCTCGATCTGCTTGAGAAGCTCCGCGTCCAGAGGGAGTTTCTGCAAACTGTCAAAGTTCATCCCACCACCAAAAATACGCGGTCCAATACTGATAATCCGTTGGATGTCTATCAAATTTAGGATCCGTGAAAGCGCGTTGTCGACATGCAGAAGACTGTCAACCATCAGATTAGACATCTGCATGCGCAACTCGAGAGAGGGCATGGAGCTTAAAGGGAAAAGATCATCCCCATTAAGATCCGATCCCCTCGCAGCAGACAGAAACCTCCGATTGTTGGAGCGTAAACTAATCCAAGCTGGTCGATTTTCTCTTCCTTCACTGAGGTAGGGTGAAAAGGAATGATTTCTGGACGATCGGTGGCCTCGTGAAATGGAAGGCAAATGCTCCTGAGGGGTGTTGATGGGGTTGGGGACACTATTTGGGGTTGAACCTCGGGATAAAGAACTCCGTGGGACGTTTGAATGTGTATTGATATTTCCCATTTTTAATAAACAATTTTCACACTTTATGTAACCTTTTTCTCAAAAAAATGTCAACTATAGGCTTATCTTAAACAGAAGGGCTTTTTGGTCCTTTCCAAAAGCTTGTCCAGCAAGCCCCCTGAAAATAAGTATATAAATAAAGTCAAGCGAATCTGTTAGTTTTGTTAAAAGTATTTAGTTGGTCAATGAAGCTATACTTTTTGTGTCGTTTAGTTAATCAAGTAGATAATAAATGACCTTTAAAGTGAACAGGTACGTAAACCTTTCCTTTTTTATTTTATACTAAAGGATTAACAAGAATATAAAAAGACAATAGGAAGTATGGAAAATTATATCCATATAAGCATGTCGTTTTCATGAGTGTTAATGAACACCATTATCCTGAATACTATCTATGAAATAGGAATACACACTACTCCATTATTACGAATAACAAATTAAAACCCACATATATCCTCTTTCCACCTCCCAATCAGTGAAGTGTGATGTGTGCGTATGTTAGGAGGAGGAAGGAGAGTGATAGGTAAGGAATAACATCACCGATTAATGGTTCAATACTAGATGCTCATTCTTCTTCTTCTATCTAGCGATAGATCCCCACCCTATAAATTATCATTAAGTTTACTATGCATTGTACAACTTCGATAAAAAATAATGTAGATATTTAAACTAAATCCCACAAAGCGCCACATGCGCACACACAATAATTGAAGTAATAATAATATTACTAATAATATTTTTTTTAAGTACTTGAGGAATTCTGAAGGACAAAAAATATGTAAAATAACCAACAATTAAGGTAATTGTCATCTATAGTATATTTGTACTTGAATAATATTGATGCAATGTGAAGAAAAGCTAACAAGATCGTAGCACCTCGACTATCACCCAGTATTGTAAAAATCAAGCTTTTTCCAACCCTTTCGATACCCACCACAAAAGTAGTAAAAGGGTTATTTGCTTCCTTGCACCGACCACTTCCCCCCATATTCATTCCACCTGAACCCTTTCTCTGGTGGTTTCACTTGTTTTTTTTTACTCAGCAAACCACGAGCGGTATCGGTTCTTCAGCTCCTGCAGCTCCGTGTTTGACAGTTCGATAGGAGGCTCATCTTTGGCGAATTTGGCGATCGCTTCCTTCTGCGCGTCCGTCAGCATCTTAGGGAGGAGGACGGCAAAGTGGATGAAGAAGTCGCCGGTGCGGTTTTGGTTCGGCCGATGCACGCCGCGGCCGCGCACTACCAGCCGATCGCCCTGCTGCGTTCCCGGTGGCACTTTTGTCTCGACCTCGCCGGTGAGGGTTGGGACTCGGACGGTGCCGCCGAGGACCGCGATCGAAAGTGAAATCGGGGCGACGATATGGATGTCGGTGCCCTCGCGGTGGAAGACCGCGTCCTCCTCGACGGTGACCTCGACGTAGAGGTTCCCCGGCGGCCCGTTGCGCACCCCGACCTCACCCCTCCCGCTCACGCGGAGCCGCTCCTTATGGTCGATGCCCTTCGGTACCCGCAGCGTCTGCAGACTGCGGTCCTTGACGATGCCCTTTCCGCTGCACTGGGCGCAGGTCGTGCGTCCCATCTCCCCCGTTCCCCCGCAGTGCGTGCAGTCCTGTTGCATGTGAAAGAAGCCGGTCGACATGACCTTCTTCCCCCGTCCTCCGCAGTGTGCGCACTTGCTCCGCGCGGTCGTCTCCTGGCACCCGCTCCCCGCACACATCCCGCAGCGCCGCATTGTGTTGTAGGAGATCTCCTTCGTGCAGCCGTGGACGGCCTCGAGGAAGGTCAGCTTCATCTTGTAGTGGATGTCCGCCCCGGGCTCCGGGCCCTGGGGCTTGCGGGTCTTGTCCTTGCCGCTGCCGCTCATCTTCTGGAAGATTTCCTCGAAGTCGGTGAAGGAGAACCCACCAGAGCCGTTGGTGGCGTTCGCGAAAGGGTTGCCCGCCCCACCGAAGGGGTTGCTCGTTCCGCCAAAAGGGTTAAACCCCGCCCCCCCGCCGAAGTTCCCCGCGGCGCTCGCGTTCCCAGTCATGTCATACATACTCCGCTTCTGCGGGTCGGAGAGGGTCTCGTAGGCCTGCTTGGCCGTCGCGAAGTCCTCGGCAGCGCGCGGGTTGGGGTTGACATCGGGGTGGAGGATCTTCGCTTTTTGTTTGTAGGCCGTTTTGATCTGCTCCTGTGTGGCGTTTCGCTGGACACCGAGGACGGCATAGAGATCCTTTTTCGTCGCCCCACCCCCATCCGTCGTCTGATGACGACGGGCGCTCGTCAGGGAAGGGGGTGATCCCCCCGCTGCGAAACCCCACTCAGGGGCCCGCGAACTTCGAAAAACTGCCACCACGCGGCGTAGGCCGGGAAAAAATGCGGAGGGCCCCGCCACCGCCTTCACCCTCGCAAGTCGACCGGTTGCCCTCATCGCCAGCAAAATGAATCAGGAGCGATAGGGAACGATACACGGATCTGGCGATCGGTGGGAAAGAGTGTGGATGCAGACCCTCGTCTCACACAACTGTGGGTGTTCTTTTCTTCTTTTTTTTCGCCAGTTACAGTCGAAACACCCCAGGCACGACGCCGTACAGGACACAACCACTGTTATAACGCTATACAATTATACTCCTGAATTAGCCCACACTTCAAACCTCAGAACAAGTTACGGTAGGTTCTTGTGGGTTCCTGAAACACGATAGGATAATTGGAAAATAGTCCCCTCTGAATAAGAAGGGAGAGAGAAAATATGTGAAGACAAGCACAAGCAAGAGGGAGGTATACACCTCACCTTGAAATACTAGGCAGTGTATAGAAATCACAGAGCGTGCGATTGGTATCTTCTGCTATCTGTTTGGGTTCCTATTCTTTTTCCAGCAGTGCACGATATAAGGAAAAAGAAGTAGTCCACTGATTTACTTTGCCTTGGTCCATTGTAAATTTGTTCAATAGAGTTGATGAAAGTGAGGCCGCGATCAAACACATACATAGAAAAAAAGGGAGTGAGAAAATAAAATTAGAATAATTTAGACATTTGTTAGCAGTAGTGAATTGCGGTGCTCGTTTCATGTATTATGTTGTAGTTTTTAGTGTTGACGTAAGCATCGGAGTATAGTAACCTAAGTTCATTGATTTCTGTTTTCATTTCCAAGTTTTCTCATATATTCGGGTCCCTCTGCTAAGAATTCCAAAAAACAGGAGGAAGATATTAAAAGATGCAATGTTCAATAAGCACCTTTCTCCTTGAGGCTAACTAAATCTAAAATGAAAAATAAATTGATCCAAAGAGGTGTTTGGCGCCGTCATTA